GGGGGGGGGGCGTTCAATGGCGCCTGGGAGCAAAAATGTCGTTTGCATCCATTATTTGGTGGGCATGTGTGCCTTAGACAAGGATTGTCCATACTTGCACCAGTACGACTTGGACCGTGTGCCAATTTGCCCGTACGTACTAGAGGAGGGAAGGGTTGTACCATGTGGGTGATGGTGGTTTCTTACCCCATCGGATTATATCCCCCTTCTTCATAGATTCGGGAGTAAATGCGTAAGAGACGACGACTGCCCTTTCAAGCACGTGACAGAGGTGAGGGAAATGGAGTGGGTGGGAGCGTGGGAGGAGAATGGGATTGGCCGAGGGAATCTCCTCCCCTTCGGAAAGGGGTAGAGTTGATTCACGACCCAGGACGCCACCGCAGAGGGGATTAGTCCGTGAACGTGCCGAATGCATGTGAAATGTCAAAATAGTAATTAAAGGGCATGCGCTTGTAAGAAGGTTGAAGTGTGCAGTGGGAGCCCGGGCTGGTAGGGGGGCGCGGCACATAAAGGGGTGGAAGAGCGGCAATATTCACCAAACGCATCTCTGGACCTGTACTCATTCCGTCCAACGCACCCTTCTCCTTGGTTTCCTACATGAATGCAGGAGGACAAGACGGAATGTGTTTTTTATCGACAGGGTTTTTGCATGTATGGCCCTTTCTGCCGGTAAGCTGTCGGGGGGGGAGAGGGAGGAAGGCAGGGGGGAGGCGAGGGAGGAATAGAACACAAGAGAAAACTGCGGAGGGGATACCCGGCCATGAGAATCGTTTCAATAGGCAAAGGAATGTCGATCCTGTGGTTTGGAGGGATTGATCTGGGACGCCTGTAAGGGAAGGCAGCTTCCTGAGTCCCGTGTCCGGAGGATCCCCACGAGCCCCGCAGGCCCTGTCTCCTCGGCTCCCTTCGCATGACGCATCGCGAGCATCCTCTTCCCAGTCCCATGAACCCCTAATTCAGGCTTTCGATGCCTCGAACTTGTCAAAATTGTTGTCTTCCCGTCCTTTCTTGCCTGTCCCAAAGCACGGGCGACTACCAGCCGTCTCGACCCAGCTCCGGCTCACTTTCCTCTCATCATTCCTGACTCATTTTCCCCTCTCGGTGCCTTCATCTCTGGCCTGTCACCTTATATTCAGCTACAAGCATGTCCATCGCAACCCAGAAGACGCGCCCGAGCAAGGCGAATTCAACATATCCTCCCAAAAAGCGGCAGACGAGGCCGCCGCCGCCGCGGCTGAGGGGGGGAATGTGAGCGGAGAGGGCAACAGCTATCCGCCTGGAGCGTCATCAGGTACGCAAAATACCCCTTAAAGCCTCACATTTTCCACGTCTTGCGTTGTCTTCTCGGTGTGCTGTCTTCCGAAGGGACAGTTGGGAGGTGTCAGGGGGGGTTCATGTCGCCCAAATGTAGGCCAAAGCTTCGCATTTTTATCTTTTTTCTCTGAACATCACCTTTGGGACATCCAGGACTCCCCGGCAATGTGGTGGGTGGCTTCGGAGGGGGCAG